GATTGAGAGGCTGATATATATCTTTTCACCTTGTTTCCTTCCTATTTCTCCCTTCTGCTTATTAATAGAAAGTAACTTAACAGACTAAGGAAAATAATTCTGATCTATAAGTCACTGAAACACAAATGGTCTATCACCAAGCTAAAGTTACTCTTTTTAAAAAATTACTCCCTCATTGACTTTATCTCAATAATTCTTTATTACTGCTATTATTACATGCATCTGAAAGGATGTGAACTTGCAGGACCTGAATGGATCTAAATCACCTAGGCCAGAGTTTCTTCGTGTTGTCTAATGCTAAAACCACGGAGAGACGACATATCACTTTCAAGAACATAGTGATGAATGAAAATAATCGTGGTTGGCTTTGGGGAGGCAAAAGGCAGGAGCAGGGGGAGGTGTGCCAAATCCCTGAGCACCCAGGGCTAGGACGCAATAGCTTCGTGGTCTCCCTAGGATTTTTATAATTCTTATGGCTTCCAAAAAGTAAAACTCATTTTCCCAGCAGGAATGATCCAGCAAACAATCTGTGAAAGAACTCATTATGCTTTTCTTATCCTTCAACATTTACTTCCCATATTTAAAAACTAAAGAACCTCCTGCTTACATCTTTACTAAAGTGAAGGGGGAAGGGAAGGAATTAAACAAGTGCCGGGTAAGATTCAAACTCAACAAAGCTACTTATTTCACCTTTTCTGTGTAATGTGCCTTTTAAAATTCGTGATGTTTGATTAGGAAGTTTTTAAAAGTTCATCTTACTCAAAACCATCATATAGTAGATTCACCTTAGAGCTGTAGACTCATTCTGACTGGCCTTTTACTTTTACCTTCTAAGTACTTTCTGTTGGCCATGACATTTTGGTTTTAATTCCTACAGACAATAGTTAGCATTAAAAAAATATGAATTTTGAGATTTATGGCAGTTACTCTTGGTGTTTCCTTATAAATTTGCCTGTAAACATTAATGGCATCTTTCTACTTGTCCAGTACAACTGATAGCCAATTATTAACCCTTAGAGGCATGGGTGTTAATGATTTCCTTCTCCAGGCGGCACCAAGGCACTGACCCTATTCTGTGTGGACCGACGTTTCCAGATGCTGAGGTAAGAGGTAATTATCGTCTGCACAGTACAAATGACCTGGAGACTTTGAAAGGTCAGCTAACTTGATATAAAACAGATCCTACACAAGGAGCAGAAGCCTGCCTTGATTCCAGAGTCTTCCCTCCTAAACTTACCTGGTGGGTACCAGGCAAATTTGCATATTAAATGCAAAGAAATGATCATCTACAAAGAAACACACTTTTAAAAAAGTTTAATACATGGTGGCTTATTACTTTTTATGAAGACAAGTAGTATTCACATCCAATTTAATTAGGATTAGTTCTCTTTTTTCCCCCTCTAAAATATCAATCTGAACAATTAATGTTATTTTTCTAGAGAACTATCTAACTTCTGGAAAACTTTAATATTCTTTAGGACAAAAGACAACAATAGCTTATCAAGTTTTGACAAATAATATAAAGGAAAAATATAAAATGATATGGAAGATCTCACTACTTCTGTCATTTTAAACTGTGAAAACAAAAAATGCTATATAAACAATTTGCAAGTTTTCTGTTATGACCTGAAAAAAATCACAATTTTTACTTAGCACTTCAATATTAAAGCTGGGAGTGTAGCTGAGTGGTAGAGCACACGCTTAGTCCTGGGTTCAATCACACAAAAAAGCAAAACAAAAGAGAACAAAACAAAACAATTAAAGGAGTTATGCCATATTCTGTAATGACCTGAGAACTGGCATCACAGTATGGGTGAGAAACTGGTCTCTTAACTAATTTCATTCAGTCTCATTATGAAGTATCAATAGTTCAACTGAACTCTCATGCGACACCTAAACCATTTTTATTTTTTGCTAAAAGGGAAAAGTTACAACTGAAAGATGGCTATATATCTCATATTTAGTTGGTGCTTCAAGGCAGACAGGTTTGCTTCAAAGCAAGATCACACAAAATTACTCTCGGCAGTACATCTGTGTTTGGATAAGAAGTTTTTTTCTTTTAACTCATTATGTAATAACTTAGCTTCAGTAGTAAAAGACTCCAGATGTTTACTCTAACAACTTTCATAGACACACAAGATTAATGTCAGACACATAATCACTGGTTTTGGATCATGGCCAAAGCCTGTTTATATGCTGTTTAATTACATTGGCACTCCAGGCATTTCAAACATCAACAGAATTCTCAGCTGATACTCCCATGTAGGACCCTGTATTGAGAGGTAAAGAACTTGGATGCTGTATACTGTGATGCAACTTATCTAGTTCATTTTACTTTTAATGGATTTGGAAGTTTTATGGATTGAAATTCTTTTAGGTTATAACTAGCAGGTAAACATAAACTGCCAAAAACACTTTCCTCAGAATTATTTGCTGCACACAAGTGAAGTAATTTCCAAATTCTTTTTATTATTATTCTCCTTTCTAAATATTCCTGTGTCCCCAGGGATTTATCTAAGCCCTAAAAGATTCCCAAGAGTCCTAGAACTTGACTTGGGTTATACTTCTCTAAACAAATAATACTAGAAATTTGTTTTGTATAAAACTCCCAAAGTTCTTGGCCTAGGTAATTTTGAATTTTGACTTTCCCAAATATAACATTTCACATTTCAAGGCCATGTTAGTCAATATTTCTCTTGGGATATGGGAAGTTTTCTTTATTTATTGTAGGCTGCTCACATCCACATACATACTTAAACTAAACACACAGAAACTTACTTCACTGACATAAGCAACATGTGATGCCGAGAAACTTAAGATGTCTGCGCAAAACTGGAACTCCTTTCTAAGTAAAACACATAGGTAGATGAATCCACTGAAACATCTCAGATTATCTGGGAAAGTTTCAGTAATGATAGAAATGTTTGTAGTTTTGTATTTGTGACTGCTATTGAAATGAAACACTCTTCTTCAGCTTTTCCAGTTCTATTCTGGTCCCTCAGCTCCCACTTAACAAGTACCATTAGAGGTAGGCAGGCATCTTCTAGTCCTTTATTTTAAAATCTATTTACTGTTCTTACTGCCAACGGCAATAGTTCAAAATATTCATTATTGTAGGCCCCCATAATTTTGCAGCTACGTATGCCTCTCTGCAGTTTGCCTGACACAGTGCCCCCAAATTCTACCCTGTGCTCAGCTTGGCTTGAACCCTGTTATGTACTGCTAACCCACGTGTTTAATGGGTGGCAGATCCAGTTCAAGACCTTTGTCCTGGCTTGACCCCACCAGGATGAGGAACAGTGGCGAAAGAGTCAAAATACATTTGAAAATCCAAGTAGTTGACACAGTTAAAGAAAATGAAAATAATAATCATTAAAAAATGTAGTGTCTTGGGATGGTGAAGATCTACAGGTAGGGTAATTGCTAAAATCAAAAGTACAGTAATCCAGAAATCCAGTACAACATAACTCCTCAAATTTAACCCTCAATCAAGGACTAGACATTGTAATGCTGGCAAACTCAAAACAATACAGAAAAGAGCCCATAATTTTAAAATTTTGTATTAATGACTGGCAGAGTATTGTATCCTTCCATACAACTCAAAAAAAGAGGAGAAAGGTCTATGAGTAAATTAATTTGACCCCAAGCTACTAATTATGAGTTTACTAGACTTTTGACTTTGGAATTATATCCATAAAACATTTTCATTTTTACTAAAACTATCAACAGTCAAGCTGGTCAGAAATCAAACATTTAAGAAGCACATTATCTCTTATTATACCAATTTAGTATTTCTCTGATCATCTTGAAAGGGTTGACAAGTCACAACTGCCTATTTCAGTAAATAAGGAATAGTCAGGCTCATTTATTTACATAGCTGCCAGTGCTAGAGTGTGAAAGTTAAGTAGTTAGACCAGAAACCATATAGCTTACAAAGCCTAAAAAATTTATTATCTGGCTCTTTATAGAAGAGTTTGTAGGCCTCTGAGTAGGTGACAATATGGAAAGGTCACCCTAATGGTCCTGGTCCTAGAGCAGCTGATACCTTGAATGCACAAGCAACAAGAAGGGTAGCTCTGGGATGGGTTTTATGTTCTACCTTGAGCACAGATGATGTTATGGTTTGTGTCTAGATGTCCCTCCAAAGCCTCATGAAGTCATAGGTGGCTAATCTAGAGTGTGAGATGCTGGGATTAAGGGTGTGTGACTACTAAATTAATCCACGGATTGGTTTGGCATAGTTCTGGGTGTGAGTGCTACCCACTCTGAGGGAAGGTACCTCAGATAGAATATAAGCAGACAGAAAAAAAAGCTGCCACTGCCACTTGGTATTTGCCACTCATTGCTTTCTGCCTGCATGCTTTTGCTGACTCTGTGATGCTCCTCTGCCATGCTACTGGTACTGCCTTGCAGGCAGCCAATTATGGACTGAAACTTCTACAAACTGCAAGCCAAAGTAAACTTTTCCTTCTTTAACTTTGGGTGCTGGGCATTATTTTTCTCAGCAACAAGAAAATGAAGACAGATGATGTTCCTAAAGTGCTTTTATTAGTAAATAATATTTTTAAAGTATAAAATGATTAAAATACTGTGGTTACTTTTCATTTTTAAGATGTCTGCAAACATAGTGGTTAGATGTGTGCTTTCTGCATACCCTATAGTATTAGTATTGCAGAGAAGGTCTGGACTTTACAGTTCACCTGTGTGGTAAGGATATGACAGTAAAATACATGTAATATTGAGTAATTTGCACATTCCTTTTGTAATCACCTACAGAATATGTGTATTGTTTAATTACTGTAGGGCATTAAGATATTACATTGCTATAGGAATACATTAAAATAGTAACTACACAATTATAGGATTAAGATGGCTTAGATTATCAGATTAGTAGTCCAAAGACATGATTAAACAGTCTGCTCTTTCTTTGTGTTATAACTTGCATATACTTTGTATATATAAAACTAAACTTGAAAACCATCCATTTGTTTGTATTACAGGAAGGAAGTCCTAACCTTGATCCCAACATAACTCTGGAACAACGTATTTATTAACATCAAATTTTAGATAAAAATACAAAGTCAGAAATATCTGTTCAGTTTGTAAGAGAAATAAATACTATTCACTCAAATAATATAGTTTTCTACTGTATTTACTACTAGTATGCTTTTCTACTACATTTAGGGTAAACTGGGAGTTTCTGTTTCACTTCAAACAGTTCCTCACTTTGCCCATTCCACCAGTAACAGCACCACAGAGCACAGGCTGTGATAACAGTTCTGTCCATGACACACACAAACTGAATACTGGATTACAAAAGAACATAGTTCACCTTAACTGGACAAGTAATTTTTAAAAAGTCTTCCTAATGAAGCCTATGGAACATTTTTTTTTAAACAAATACAAACAAGTGGATGGGATTCACTTTTGGACCTCACACTTCCTCTACTTGGGATTGTAAATCATGAAAAACAACTAGATTTACATTGTCACAGAAAAACCTTGAAATCCACAGCTCATGAACCAAACAGGTTTCCTTTCTCCTGAATAAAACATCCTTTGGATCTTGAGGAAAAACCCTAAAAATTTTGTCATTTAGTGTAATTGTAACAACTTACTATACCACATATCAGTTATGTTTTAGGAATTAAATTAAAATCAACTTGAGACAAATTTAGATGTTTTGTAGCATAATCTATAACCCAAGAGAAGGAAACCTTATCCTCTTACCTCATTTTTATTTTCATTTTTTATAAATAGTATAGGACTCTATGTAAATTGTCTTAATCTTTTTAAAACAAAGTGGGGCACAAATAACTGAACTAGTAAAAACTGACATAAAATTGATGATCTAGGTGCCATTTATTGACCAGCTAAATAAATTAAGGATGAATTTATCAGAGGAAACAACCTATAAATCTATTGGTTAGACAGATGATTCAAATATAAGCAATAGTAAAGCATATAATCAGACAATATAGTCTGAGATAGTTTCTTTAACCAGTAGGTAAAATTGTTTTTCTAACTAGAATAGTAAAACTTTATACCCAGAGAAATTTTAATTGTTAAAAAAAAAATATTTCGGACCTGAAATCAGGTCCAGTCATGAATACAGGGCACAGCTGATGAGTAAAAAAAAAAGCTGTAGCATACAAGCATGGTGACAAAAATACTGATTTATTCAAATGAGTATACATTACATTATAAAAAGTGACAAGACACGAACACAATTCAAACAGAAATGAAGCTTTGTATTTCGTGAATCTGGGGCCTATGGTTTTAGCCACCAGAGGTCACTCTTCCCCAGGGAGACAAGGCAGGACTTCTGAAGCTCTTTTTGGAATAGTGTGTATTTTGTTGTGTATTTCCAAAGGGATACAATAAAAGACAGATGTGTTGACAACATTTTTCTCTCCTCCCAAAACATATCTGAGGATGGATCTCCCCCTCCCCTTAATGCAGATATCAGAGAAGAGGAGAATCGAAAGCAGTCTGAGAGGCCAAGAGGATGTACTCAACACAGTAATATCAAATGATTTAGGGTAGGAAAGTAGAAACGGTTCTCTGGGAGATGAGACATTCTCAAAGCAGCTGACAATCTAGGGAGAGACAATGGAGACAATTGGAAGAGGTTTCCAGAACTTTTTGTGTATTATAAATGTAATCACTCCTGGGCATTCTTCAGCTAAAGACTGCTATACCATTTTATGCTGTCTTTTCTCAATTAGCACTGCAAGTCGAACCAAAGCTTTTTGTACCAGATTTGTCTGTACGGAAAAAGTAAATTAGGTAGGGCTCCTTCAATCAAACAGGAGAGAAAGAGACCCTTAATTCATCACAGTGCCTTGCACAAAATATACTCAGTGAACGCTTTCCCATCTATCCTGAATCTTACAAAGAACTGAAACTGAAAATTTCGATCCTCTTAGTTAAGGGAGGGCCCAGTTATATTTATTGCCATTTACTCTAGGCACAGGAAGGAGTAAAATTCAAGAGTTATAGTAGTCTTAATAATTTCATGTACATGGCCAAGGGACAATTCAGCATAGACTTCTATGACTACCAAACACTTCTAAAACACAATATTATTTATTCCATGTAGCACCAAAGGAAATTCCAAAGAAAGGGTTTTTAGTAGCAGTTTACTCATTAAATACTTGTTCACAATACACCATTTTGAATTCCAACACACTGGCACATAAGGTTATTACACGTCATTGTATATTTTGGATATCTAACAACTCTTTTTTCCCCCACTACAAAGGCAAAGTATGTTCATTACAAAATACTCAGAAAAAGGCAAAAAAAACTTTGAGAAAATAAAATCACCTATAATCCCACAGATTATGGAGAAAGATGAAGTGCTGAATGAAACATGCTTTAAATACACACAATTTACAGTTTTAACTTTATAGTTCATGTACAGTGGACCCTTGACTTTTGAACTCAATTCATTCTTAGGGCTGTTTGTAACTTGAAGGCTCAGGCTCCTCCTCACAGCCTTTGAAGTCTCTCTCCTGCATACAGGCAGATCTCAGTGTCCTTAGAGAGACACTGGCGCGGGATTTCTCAATTAACTTCACACAGGAAAGGATGATATAATGTTCCTTCCAGAACTCTTTAAGGGTTAAATCTAAACTGAGACCATCTGGAAGCATAAGTGGCTAGCATTTGGCTCATAATTCAAGACTTTGGTCGTAAGTTAAAACTAAGTCTTGTTGTAATCCAAGTTGTTCCTATGTTGGGCCACTTGTAACTTGCGGGTCCACTGTATATCCATCTCTACATTACCTATCATCTGCCTCCTTAACCAATGAAATGATCATGACAGGTTCACCAGGAACTCGGGTGGACCATGTTTCTATGCTGTGTTCCTTAAGCCTAACCGTCAAGTGCACTGGCTTGAAGATTAGTACAGTACACTTCAGGGTGGGGCATCAAGTATTTTGTCCAACAACGGGAAACTAATGGACTGTTTACTTTTTCCTTGTACTCTCTCTGAAGTCTCTGTAGCATTTGCTGACCACTTCTATTTTGCTTCTTGTATCCTCCTTTCACACTTCTCCTGCCCTGGTCATTTCCCCTTTGTCATTATTCTGGGCTGTTCTTTTTCAGGTTAACATTACTGAATTTCCGGCTCCATCTCTAGGCTTCTCATTTCCACCCCTTCTTCCTGGGTAACTAAAGTTGCTTTCCTGCTATCAACTACTATCTATCTGGTTGATGTGCCTAACACCTAATAGATGTTTACAAATGTTAATTTTATTGATGACTAAAAGATTAATAATTTCCAACTGTAATCTCCAGGAAATTCTCAGCTCCCAAGGCCAGAAAAAAAAAAAAATACACAGCAGAAGTTTCTTATCTACCACAGTTGAGACTGGTAATTGGCTGGTTAATGACACAAGTGGGTTAAAGCACTGAATCATAAAAACAAACAAATAAGTGCTTTACATGTTGAACTTTAAGCAAGTAAAGGTCCATTCATTTGGCAATACTTTTAGAATTGAAGAATTCTCTTCATTTAGGGGTCTGTTGACCCATTAGTGTCTGTCTTCCCCAAATCACAGCCATGCTTCTAAATAATCTGTGGTATCCATTTTTGTCTGACTGTTTAACACTTTTACTAAGATACCACTAACCTGCCAATTAAAGTGCACACCCTGGAAGTTTTTAATATGTTCACAAAATTGTGCAACCACAACCACAATCATTCTGGAATATTCTCATTACTCCAAAAAAGAAACTTCTTGCATACTGACACTCATTTCCAATTTCCCACCAAAACGCTAGCCCTAGGCAACCATTATGTCCTTTCTATCCCTCATGATTAGTTTCCCCTTGGAGATTTCATATAAACAAAATCATACAACATGTAATCTTTCATGAAGTTTCTTTTTCTTAGCATTACGTTTTCAAACCTCATCTGTTGTAACAAATAATGTTACTTCATTTCCTCTTATTGCCAAATATTTCACTGCAGAGACAGACCATGTTTTATTATCTGTTCAGGACATTCAGGTTATTTGTACTGTTTGGCATTTATGAATAAACACTGCTATGAACATTCATGTACACTTTTTTACACAGACATAAGTTTTAACTGCCTTTGGGGATACACATGGGAGTAGAATTGCTGGGTGATATTGTAACTCATGATTAAAATTTTAAGGAATTACCAGACTGTTTTTCAAAGTGACTGAACCATTTTACATTTCTACCAGTAGTTTATGACAGTTCTTTTTTTTTTAATTGAATTTATTGGTACATTTTAGGTATACAGTACAGTTACATTCATTACTGGGATCTTGTACCTTTACATGCCAGGTCTTGGTTCTCATTTTTTCCCCTTGTCCCCAACCTCCCTTCACCCCCTCCTCCCCTCCCCACCTTCAAACACTTTAATTCCATTTTTACATTTTCTCATATTTTTTTCCTTTTCCCTTATTCCCCTTTCCCTATCCTTCTCACTGTACGACAGTTCTCTTTTCTTTACAATCTCAACACTTCTTCTTATCTGTTTTTGGTTACAGACAAGTTCATGGGTGTGAAGAGATACTTCAGTTTGCTTCTGAGTTGTGTAACTCTGAAAAACACTGTTAACTAACTTGCCATTGGTCTTTTGCACATCTTATGTGGGTCAACGGCTATCTAGATCCTTGTCTTTTTTTTTAATTGGACTACTTTTTAAGTTACTAAAATGTAAGAGTTCTTATATTGTGTAGAAAATAAAACCCTTATCAAAGAAGTTGCATTCCTTTTTGGTGGTGTAATTCAAACACAATATTAAGTTCTAATGATGTCCAGTTCATATTTTTTTTATTTGTTGCTTGTGTTTTCTGTGTGTCATATCTAAGGAAGCACTAGGTAATTCAAATTCAAGAGGATTTACACCTATACCTCTAATTATACTTCTAATAAGTTTTATAGGTATACGTCTTACATTTAAATCTGTGATCTACTTAATTTTAATACATAATGTGAGAATATATTCTGTCATGTAGAGCTGTTGGATTTTTGTCAAATATCTTTTCTGAATC